TTGAAAACACTCACCGTTTCTTAATTTTTGTGTATATCAATTATCAACTGAAGACCAGCCGCTTAAGCTCAGTGCATCAGTTAGCTGTGCTTAACTCGGGCCGGAAAATGAGCCTGAGGTGTGGTTCGAGGTCACGCGTGATTACGAGGTACTCCACTTTTCGGTTCATTTTCGGGTCTTCGCTACGTATCCAAAAGGCTTCTAATGTTTTACGCGCAGATGTTCTTGATTCCTCTGCCAGGATCGTGAATTTGGCGCCGAACATTACTCCTGCATGTTTTTGGTCCCTATGCGTGCATAGTGGGGTTTTTGGATCACAGTTTCGTAACCCCGCTAGGTGCTCTTTTACACGGCGGATTAGTGCCCTACCCGTATCGCCAATGTACTCATCGCCGCATGCATCGCAAGAGATTAGGTAAATTATACCCGATCTCATACAGTGGCCGTCTCTGCCGTTCGGGCAACTTTGCAGTCATTTCGCAAGGCGTCATACAGTCGGTTGCGGACAAATTGGCGCCTTGGTGCTTTTGAGGGTATTTCAACTATTGCTACCGAATCATCCAAACCTGTTCTTTTTAGGCAGCGTTTGATAGCTGTACTTAGTTCGTTATTTCTTCGCTTACTACTGATAGTTGCCTTTTTGGGTACGATTTAAGCGAAGCACTAGCTGTAAAACTTTACTTAGTTTTGTTCTGTAAAACAGTGTACTGTCCTTATGCCGAACTTATGAGAGGTTTCTATGAATCAGTGTCATGGTTAGCAATTCATCGGTTTCATCTTCATCACAGCAACGCCGACTCTAATCGAGTTTTCAAAGTAATTGCTCTTTATTACAATGTTGATCATCGTAATTATCGAGGCTAAACTGAATAGAGCTACCATTACGAATGAAGTAGCGTCTTCATCAGTGTTCTTTCCTTATGCTGCTGTAGATGCATTAACGCATATTGGACCTGTTGTTTGCAGTCGTTGAGGTTGTTTGGATCGCTGTGAAAAAGAGGTCAGAAAGTGATTTATCCTGTACCACTTCTATCCCTTACTCAAGCAATTCATTTCTCTGTTATTCATTGCTGCTGTCGACTTTCCTGATCTAGTGTTGAAGTGATAGGAACGAATTTTTCGAAATGTTTCTCTCTAACTAATTTTACTTGGTCTCTAATTTGGTCTAAGTGTAGGACGGAACTCAAAGTATCATGAACAGCGTTGAGATGTTTAAATGTGGACCAAGAAACACGGTGCAACATGAGCAAATTTTGTAATTGTTATTTTTTCCCGTCAGCTTACAACACGTTGGAAAAGGACAAGTTTTTTCTAGTATCTGGAATGATTCAAGAGCTCCATATTCTATGTTACTGTTAGGTTTGACTACTAAAATTTAAGGTGACCAGGTGCGCCACAACATGCGGCTGCGTCTTTGCACCTGAAGAGGAACTGTACCGCCCTCTAGCCAGCGCTTTAGTGCTGGACTACCGCTTGAACCACTAGCAGGTCTTACAAGTTTTTTTTTATTGAAAGAACATAGAAAGGAGGAATCAAGAAAAGGACATGAAGTCCACCAATATATGAGAATATCTTGGAAGTGCATTTGATATCGAGAATATTATTTTCTCTTGTGCAAACTAAAAGCGAAAAATAGGAAGAGATGAGCTCTGGTTACCTTTTAAAGTATGGCGAACGACCGCAGAATGGTCGACGTTGAGTACTGCTGCAATATTTGCTGTAGTCTCAATAGGATCAGCAGTGATAATTGCACTCAGTTGGTCTTTCTATGACCGTCCACGACACTCAATTCTAAGGCTCTTGTCTTCCTTATTAAACTTCTTGAACCAACACTGAACTTTACGTTCATCACAGTTCCTAGGCTAAGCTCGCTGTTGCTATCACGAGTTAGCTCTATTGCTTTACGACCCATTTCGGACTTAAGTTAAAAATTCTCTCGATGTTGCTTTTGTCTCACTTCCTTTCCATAGTTCAAAATAGATATTAACTAAGCAGCAGGTGCCACGTCACTAAAAGCAAAATTTAAAGCAATAAGTGCATTTTGAAATAATGTATAACATGACCACATTTATCCATGATTATTCCCAATATCAAACGGCGAGTTCAACAATGCATAAATTGCAGTTTTTTTTGTCACCAACCTAATATTTTGTTCATTTTTCTCTTTGCTAACAAGGTTTTTCTTGTAGGCAAGTGGAAAGTTAATGAGAACGCAGCTTGAAAAGTTTCGCTGCCCCAAAATAAAATATGGGAAAGTGAGAGACTTGTAGAGGCCCCGTCTTCTTCTAAGTATTGCAAGGTCTCATTACCGCAGTCGTAAGTAATATATTTCACTTATCATCTATCAAAACAATAATGTACCCAGTAGCTACACGCCTAGATATATTATATACTATATTATATATTATATATATATTACATATGTATATGTATTCCCTCTGCGGACGGTGCCATTTTCGCCCGGCGGGCGCCTCGAACGCCTATGAAGCGGGGCTCCGGCGCCCCCTCCAAAGCCAATGTGGCAGTTTTCCAATAAAGTTTCAAAATTTACTGTTAGGAAGTGGGGTTCATGTGTCAACAAATAGTCAAATATAATGAAGCAGGTTTCAGTAAGCTCTTGTTTACCAGAAATAACGTAATTGCTCCATTTATGATCCACATTTACAAAGAGATTACAAAGTATTCACGAAAAGGCTATATTTAAAATCTTTGTCGCACAATTATACGATATTTTACTTATACTTCTCTAAAAGCAGGTTAATACATGTCTTCTTCTATCGGTTCTTGTACATTTTATTGCATAAAGTGCATAAAATTCATCATTCTGCCTAAAAATTGGAAAAGGGTGAATAGCTGCTCAAAAATAGTCGTGCTTATTGCATGCAATCCCACTTCAATAATTCTCAATACTTTTTCGATTAACAGTGCACCTTAGATTTCTATACTTTAGATCAATGCGGAATTTCGTTAAAATTTTTATTCGTAGCTACGACATGAAAAGAAGAGATGGAGGTCTAGCGGTTCTTTCTCGTCATTTATGTCTTGTTTGAGCCGTTTGGTAAGAAAATCAGTTTTCACTTTTGTAGAAGGTTTTAGTAGTCATTCGATAGCTAAAATCAAGCGAATTTGAACGATGCGTTTCTTTCATTGAGCGACCTATTTTCTACGATGTCGCAGTGGAATAAATATTCTGTTTCACATTCAAACATCTATCTCCAAATAAAGGTTTTTTCATAAGCTTTAATAATCGTTAGATAAAGCGAATTTTATTGGATAGAACTTTTTGGAGTGCTGTAGCATTCAAAAAAAAGATTAGATATCGTAAACCTGTCTAACCCTCGATGGACACATCCTGTTTTGACCTCTCGGGAAAGCTCGTTTTGTGATTTTTCCCAGAGCTATGGTAGGCATTCGATAGTAAAAATCTCGATAGTTTTGATGGCGTGCTTATTTTTGGAATGGTTTCTTTGTTAAGCTCTAGCATTAAAAATAGTAATATCTCTCACACTCAAGCATTTCTCGCTGAACACAGCTTTTTCACTAGACTTCCAATAATTTTTGGGTATCAGAAATCTTGACCATCTCAACAAAAACTTTGTTTTTGAAAATGACTCGTTATTTTGCTGTAGTAGTCAAAAGAAGGTTACGTTTCGCAGTAAGTTGATATGTTGCTTAAGGGACGGTGATTTGGGACCAATGTTGCGAAATCCCACCATTTGAAGTGTGAAACCTAATGTTTTCTGACTGTTACAGCTCTCTCAGGAATCCTCTCCAAAAATAAAGTTATCATTCTGATCATCTGGAGATTTAAAATAGACTATGCTTTTGGAATCGCTGAGACTCACACTATCCAATGCTTAATAATTGTATATGTATAAATATATATACATATATATATATATATATAAACTTTCTTCGGCGAAAAATCCTCAGATGTGAAACATAATTTCATTTCTACTGTTGCAGCGCAAAAAACATGCCATTTGAAAGATTTTTATCTAGATTTCGTCGAGGTCGTCTAGATTTTTCTGCGTAGCTTTCTATCAGAACGACTTCGATGGTTCCGTTTGTTGCAAATTTCAAAAATATCAAGATTGCGTACGTTTCCCTCAGGTTGCAGTAGATGCCGTGTCTGAGGCTGCGAGTCGCGGATACCAGGCTGTTGACCTTATGATGAACGAATTCAATAATGCAACCAGCGCTACGCGGAGACTATTCCGGGAGGTATGGCTTTTTTGATTTTCTTTGTTCCCATGTTGCGAAACTAACAACACATTGGCAGGCGAATTAATTTTTATGTTACTTTATTTCGACTGAACCTAAGAGGATTGAGGGGTGAGCACAAATTCGACCTGAGACGGGAGTTGAATCCGAATTTCGAACACCGGGGTTGCGTGCTACTGCTAGGCTACGAAGTCCAGTACTCGCCCACCTTTCTTCTTCAATATCTCACTATCATAGCCCCGGTAGGGGTGAAGCGCGGCTTTGACTCCCGTCTCAGGTCAAATTTCTGCTCACGATTCAGTTCTCTTGGGTACATTTGAAACATCATAACAGCTCGAGAAAAGCAGTTGAAACATAAGGAATCCCGAGTAATTTATATGCATTATGGCTGTCAGCTTGACTAAACTTGGAAAGCGATATATGCTCATCCAGTCAAACCTGCTAACGGTTCGTGGTTGATAGCTTTTATATTAAGATAGTGAAGGATGCGTCGTGTAAACGGTGTAGTGGTGTAGTGGTAGCGCGAGCCATCGGTATGTGTTAAAAGCGGGTTTAACTCCCGTCTGAGGTTGCAATTTTTTGTTTACCACTCAGTTCTCCTAAACACACTTGAAACATCATAGCACCGTCAAAAGAGCACTCAAAACATGTGAAATCCTAAGTTTTCTCTTCGATTGTTCCTTTGATATCAATCTTTCTCGCACCATGCTCTTTACGCTGTGTATTACGATATTCTTCTCAGTTTCCGGAGCTTGGTAAGGGTGATGGCAAAACGGACGTCAGTAGTGCAACTGGTTAGAGCACGCGCTTCCGGATAGAGTGAGATGCGGGTTCAAGCCCCACCTGACGCAGAAGCTTTGCACATCACTATACATCACTGGGTGTTTCCATAGTTTATTGCGATAGGATTTATACTGAGGTTTTTTGCTTCGCACACTAACAGCGACTGCCAGCCAAATAAATGTAGACGTAATTTCTCTCCGCTTGTTTGGTATAAGTTTTTGATTTAGTGCGTAGCTTTTGACCACGACACAGTGGGTCTTCCTCGCTCTAGCGATTCGCTGAGCATCATATCTTTCTTCTATCGCTTTCGTGAAGAAATCCTACCAACGGGTTGGTGGTCTTCTTTTAGAGCGCTCGAAGTCCCGAGGAATCCAGTCGGTAGCGGCTCTCGTCCATCGGTTGTCGTTGAAACGCATCACATGTCCGGCCCACCTTACTTTCGATATCTTGGCGTGTAGAACGGCGTCTCTGATTTTCGATCGCTGACGTAGGTAGGAATTTCGGATCCTTTCTCTCATTTGCGAGATGCGCGATACTCCTAGCATCGACCTTTCGACTGCGCGTTCGATAACGCCAAGTGATCTTTCATCCTGCTTACGTAACGACAAGGTTTGTGCTGCATACGTTAGGGCAGGAATAATTGTCGAGTCGAAAAGGTGGGCACGATGTGTGATGCTCTTTGTCCTCTTCCCTATATCCTTTATGCTATGAAATCTCCCCAAGCCGCCCGTTTCCTCCTAGTCAACTCTGGAGCTCGGTCGTTCATCATGTGGATTTTTCGACCTAGTAGACGCAACTGGAGCACTCGGAGATACCGCTTTCGTTGAGCGTGAGTGGGGCATTCAAAACCCATCCGACGTTCCTTATGAACATCGTTTTCGTCAAATTTAGTGGGAGGGATAGTCTTCCACAGGCGCTATTTAATCGGTCAGCATTCTCTTTTTGGCTATGCTCGGTGTTATGGGGAAGATATCATCAGCAAAGCGGCGGTAGTTCAATTGTCGACCGTCAATTTTCACTCCCATATCGTCCCATTCTAATGTTCACATGACGTTTGGAGAGTGGCAGTGAATAATTTTGGCAAAATTGTATCTCCTTGTCAGTCCCCCTTTATACTTCGACAATAGCACCGCTGTATAATGGCGATACTTTGGTCGTGAAACCTTTATATAGCTTACAAGGAATCATAATCTGCGGGTAGGGACGCTCTGGTAGTCCAGAGCCTCTATGACTGTTTGTATTTCTACTGAATCAGAGGCTTTCTTCAAATCGATAAAATTAAGACAGAGCAGTAGATAATACTCTCGTGAAACTTCAATGAGCGTTGTGGTCAGTGTATGTGGTCTATGGTACCCAGTCCTTATTGAAACCGTGCTTGTTCTCATGACTGTCCTTCGTCCATTGTTTGCGCAATCCTGTTTAGGATGTCTCGAGTAAAGAGTTTATCGGCAACGGATATCAAGCAGATTGGGCGATAATTGCCTATGTCTCGAAGGCCTTCCTTTTTAAACGACAACACGATCTTGTTGATTTTCCATTGATTGGGAACCTTGCATTCTTACAGGTAGCGGGTGAATAGCCGAGCCAGGGTGTCGATGAGAACTGATGATAAGTTCTTCAAGTGTTTTGGTCCAATCTTGCCTGCAACTGGTGTTGTTCTATTCATCATCGACGATACAGCATGTCGGATTTCGAAAAGGAGAGCCCGTAGAATGCTAGATTCATCCTCTTTCAGTTTATATGACTGTAAGAGGACATGGCTAGCGAAGAGATCTGAGTAGTAGTAGTGAATACTTTCCTCCATGCTCTTTCAGAAAATGTAAGTGTCCCGTCAAGGCGTCGGTGTGCAATCATCTTAGTTTTGTATCTGGCAAAACTTCGCTTGGCTTTCCGAATGCTCTTCCCTGCTTCTGCAGCTTCTGCCATAACAGCTACTTGTCTCTCTTTGAAGTTTTCTTTTATCACTCCTCTGCAGCTCTTAATAAGTTCGGGCGTGAAAGTTTGGTTGCCTGTAGCTCGTGCGATTCCACGTTGCGTGTCAGCTCCACTATCTGCAAAGACACGCGTCTCTTCGTGTCTTTAGGACTCTCGGCAACATAGGTAGCTTTCCAGGAGCCGACTAATTATTTGAATACTTCCCAGATCCTTAATAGTTTTGAGACTTTTTTATTTGAATTTAGTGGCTTTCTCTCCTTGCCGCAAAAAACGGAACGTTGCTCGGAGGAGGCGATTATTTGATCCCGTGTTGAACTTAGAAACAACAGCGACATCGGTCAGGCAAAACCTTCGATTTACTAAGATGTTGCCTACTTTAATATGGTACTCTCTATTGGGAGACTCCCACGTCCACCGTTTAGAGTGAGGCTTTTGTAATTGTGAGTTGCCATGGATGGTTTGGGTCGTCATGATAAACTTAGATCGCCTCTCATTCTGTTCGTGGAATTCTAGCCTGTGAGTCTCAATGTGACGCTCTTCTGGGTTCAGTTTTCCCATTAAAATGTCCAACAATGGCCTTGAAGAATGTATGGTCTTCTCTAAAGCATTTTTCAAGGTCCATATAAAACGCTTCCATTTCATCTTTATCATAGCTTGATATTGGTGTGCAAACAAGGAAGATGGTCAAAGCCGGCACAGATTACCATCGTTCCAGCAGCAATTGTCTGATACGGGTTGTTAGTTGTTCAAATAAATCGATGTTCACGATTAAATTAGATTTGAGGAGGACACCAATGCCGCCGACATCTCTGTGGTCGGATGTTTCAATAAATAGTTCTAGTGGGGTGTCACAACCAGCGTGAAAAGTGTGACGTCTTCTCGTCTCAGCCAGATCAATGACGTCTCACCTTATACGTCTTGTCTGAATAAATAGATCTTCGTGGCGGATTCGGGAGCAAGTGCTCGTGTATTATAGGTACAGATCGTCATTCTAGTTCGTTCCGATTTTAACAGCCTAGTCTGGTCCTAAGATTTTAGCAGCCTCTCCGTACTCGTCTACGCGGCGCTGCCGTACCGAGTGTTTTTTCGCATTCAAGAAAGTGATGCCCATATTCGATACTGTTTTTAGCATTTTGATACCCACGTATAGCTTGCTAGGCTCTGAACGTGAAGACTGCGTAGTCACGAGTAGCTCGCCAGTTGCTCTTATTGGAGCGGGAGCACCTTGTTTGTTGGATGAGACTTCCAACCTCTTCCCATGTAGTTCCCAGCCACTTGATTGCAGCTTTTGGCCGACTTGACTCGTAGAATTAGAGTTCTGTCAAATCGGCGCTTCACAGGCAGGGAGCTCATTCCCTAAATCCACCTGCGCCTCTAAGAAGCACACGATCTTTTGGTTTGCGTTTATTCACCTATCCACCACCTGAGGATGCGCCATGGGCCTTTGCGCCTAACCGGGCGGATCCCTATAAGAAATAAAGTCGTGGCAAGGTTCTCTCCTGTAACAACGCAGATAGGCTACGACCACATTTCACGGAAGATGTCCATCATAACATTGCAGATATAATAATGCCCATCAACTGATACAAAATTACATATGCATTGGAAGCAAATTTAGTTTTTTATTATTTTACACACATTTTTGGGAAGAGAATTACTTTGTGCAAAAGAATTTTCGAAAGAATATCAGTTTTGATAGTCTGATTTTTGAACAGTGCAAGAATTCACTTGTTTTTTGAAATGATTTCTTACAGTGCTGTAGCAGAGAAAAGGAAATTCTGTATCACACGCGTTGAGCATTATCGTGATTATGTATCGCTGGACAGAGCTCTTCTCCTAGATTATTGGTAATTATTCAGAAGAGTAGGTCTATAAAATTTCACAAAAAAACATTTGATTCGCTTGACGAGCCTGCTTACAACGTGTGCATTAGAGAATAGATTTGCGTTTCACACAATCTAATTCTTGTGAGACAAAGCTTTTTCCTTAGATTATTAGTAGTCACTCGACAGCGTTAGTTTTTGGAAAGACCGTCTTACTGTGCCGTAGGAGGGAAATAAGATTGTGCTCCATACTCGTGGCGCATTGCTACTCGGCGACGATATGTGATGACTCTGATATGAGAGAATTCCTCTACACGTTCATTCACTTCTATATACATAGGCTTGGCTGCTCAGTGTTCGACTTATTAGCAAGTTTTACTTTATGAAACAAAATAAAAATAGAAAGTCGTAGCTCTATAACGATGGAGCGAAATTTGTTCTACAGTTGTGGTACAAAAGTCTTGAAAATTTCTACCAATCGAAGGGAAAGTTTCCAAATAAATTGTGGAAATATACATAATGATGCACGACGCGTGTAAAGCCACTTCCGAAATTGACGAGATTTATGCTATCCAGCAAATAACACTACTTTGAGCGAAGAGCTGTGTCTTTTGAATGACATGCGCGATAATGCGCAGCGTGTGTTAACACTATTTCATTCTCTCTGCTGCAGCACTTTTAGAATAGATCTTCAAAAAGCAAGTCCATTCTTGAGCTAATCAAGATCTGCGTTGTTCAGTGGCCAGTAGCAGTATGATGGAGGATCTCTGTCGAGCAAAACAAGCGAAACTGTGCAGCGGCTTAAACATAATTCAATTTCTGATGGTTTTTCAGTTATGCGAAATATAAGCTTTTGAAAGATCACTGATAGTTTAGTAGGAAGTCCTTGTTCTGCAAAAAAGGTTTTCTCAAATACGCCTGTTTAAGAGGAAAAGTTCCGAATATCTACAGGTCAAGCTATATCTGGCTATATTTCGTTTTACTTCAGATAAGGCATTCATCAATAACGTGTGTAGTTAAGTTTAAAAAAAAAAACAAGGAACAGAAGCAACTACGGCTGATGGCTTTCCAGTTATAATAGATGTGAGACCATCTGACACAAATCCAGAATTGAAGGGGAAAAACAGGAAGTGAGTCTTAGATACATCTTCTTGAGAAACTGGTTGCTGAATAGTCAATTCCCGGATTAAGGAAGCAATTCGTGATCATAACATGTTTTGTTCGAATGTGATAGTGTGTGAACTTTCAAGCCTATGCTGGCAGAAGTGGACGTAAACTCGGGCTATGCATTACAGCATTTCATTTCAAAG